TTGTCCAAGGGGAGTGATTTGTCCAGGGGTACTGGTTAGTCACATTGCAGAACTGAGAATCAAAAGCATATCTTGGTGAGGATGGTTTAGCAGTGGCGCAGTACCTAAGGCATCTGACTGCTAACCAGAAGGTCAGTGGTTCAAACCTACCAACTTCTCTGTGGAAGAAAGATGGGGCAATCTACTTCTGTAAATGTCTACCGCCTTGGAAACCCAATGGGGGTTGCTATGAGTTGGAAATGACTCTATGGCAGTGAGTCTGGTTTTGAGGACTCGGAATAATGAGTAAGGAAGACCAAAGAAGAATTGATGCATATGGTCTTGGTGAAGAATATTCAATCTATCGTGGACTTTCAGAAGAATGAAAAAAATCTTTTTTTGGAATAAGTGCAGTTAGAATGCTCCTTAGAAGTGAGAATGGTGAGACTTTGTCTCACATACTTAGTTGCTTGTTTGAATCTCACATACTCTGGACATGTCAGCAGGGCCCTGTCCCTGGAGAAGGACATGGGGCTTGGTAAAGCAGAAGGTCAGTGAGAAAGAGAGACGGACTGCACAGGGGCTGCCACGACGGGCTCAAGAGTTTAAATCAAGAGAGGACCGACCCCTTCCTTCTTCTCTCATCCACTGAAATCTCCCACCGAGAGAAGGCTTGGCTGAGGCAAGCTCAATCCTGGCAGCCACCAGCTTTCTCATGGACCCTTGGTTGTCACAGCAGCAGCTCTAGACTCGATAAATTCCAGAGTCAGAGAGGTCAAGAGAATCACCTAGCGTCGCACAGCAAAGCTGGGCCTAGAGCCCAGCCCATTTGATCCAAGTCCCGAGCAGTCTGGAGGTCACCATAACTGGCCTTGAATCTCAGGGAGTGGGGACTCTTCAGCCCTCCACTCTTCCACCATCCCAGTGGTCAGAGCTCATGGGGTTAAGGTTCTTCCCAAGCCTCCTCCAGCTTCAAGACTGCTTTCCCTTGATAGTCCTTCCAGTGCACTGTCCGGAACAGAAATGCTTGCCACTGCTGATCGACCGGTTTCATAAAAGGAATCCAGTTTCCTCTGCACTCACGGAAAGCTGTTAGCCCCTGGCGAGTTTCCAGGGCCTGCACTCTGGCAATGCAACCTAGACATCGGGGAGAGATGTCAAAGCCCTTGGGCCCAGAGAGGAGTCAGCTGGGCTGAGAGATTTAAATCAAGAGGAGTCCCTGCCAGCAATACCAGCAAGCAGCATCCTGTCCTCGGGAAGGAGGCCTCCCGCTGAGAGCCCATGAAACCCGGCTGAGGCCTTGCCATCGTTGTTCAGAGATGGACAGGAGGTCGCCAGCCATCCACACCTGGTCCCAGTGAGGGCGGTACAGCGGGGAAAACACTGAACCAACTGTCCAGGGGTGAGGCTTCCAGCCCCAGCTGGGTTCTTCACCAGCGGGTGCTCTTGCACAAGAAACCTCCTACCTGCTCTAAGTCCCAGCTTCCTCATCTGTAAAATGGGAACCATAACCCTCTTGACATGGTGACTAGAGGTGAGAGTGGCTGGGAATCTACCAAACACGCAACAACACCAGGCTGATTTTATCCCCCTTCGGTCCAGGCTTACAGGTATTTCAGACCAGGGCTTCACATCAGTTCACCCCGGTTCAACCCCCTGCTAAAAGTATGCATTCCCACCCCAGTTAGACTGAATCAGAATCTACATTTTAACAAAATATCCAAGTGATTCTTACGTGTTCATGTTAAAATGTAGATTCTGACTCAGTATATCTGGAAATGCAAATTCTCAGTAGGGGGTTGAATAGGAATGAACAGGTTAGAAGCCCTGTTCCATACCCTCTGAGGTTACATGCAAGTAGTTCCCATATGACCACAGAAATCATGGAGGGAAACAAGGAGTGACAGGCAGGCTGGAATGGAAGCTGAGACTCCAGGAGTCAGCCCTGACTTTTCTGGGGATAATCTTTCATGACTTCAGAGGGGCTTTGAAACCCTGAACCCTGTCCCTTCCCTTCTCTGGACCTCAGTTTTCCCTCCTATACAATGAGGAGTTTTGGGGAGATGTCTCTAAGAGCCCTCAGGCTCTGCCAACCAAAGATGGTGCTAGAAAAAAAGCAAGTCCCACCAAATTACTGCAGAACCTGGTGTTAATGGAGCCATGAGATTGTGACCACCATCACCACCATCTACCACCACTACCACCACCACCACCATCACTTCCACCATCACCACCAGCTCCACCTCCACCTCCACCACCATCATCTCCACCATCTCCACCACCTCTACCATCTTCTCCACCTCTACCACCTCCACCACCACCACCACCACCACCACCATCAACCTGCTTCACACTTATTTTAGACCATTTGTCCTTGCTGTATAAAGGTCAGCTCTCCAGCCAAAGCCTCTAAGGTGTCTGGCAATGAGTCATTCTCACTGGAGGTCAAGTTTGCTTTGTGCCTCCTTCCTAGGAACTGAAAAGCAGAGAGGTGGAAAATGAGGACCAGTCTTGCCTGGGAAAATCTTCTTATCTGGATAACCACAGACAATGTGGCCAAACACTTCTGCTTCGCAGTACCTTGGAAAACATCGCTCTGTATGCGTGGGCTCTGCAGCTCACAAAGCTCCTTCAAATCCACTGCTCATTTGATGTTGGCAAGAACCTTTTGGGGATGACATGGGAAGGATCACTGTCCCCATTTTACAGGGAGGGAAACTGTAGCTCAGAGAGAGGTGACTTTTCCAAGGTCACACAGCCAATGCATCGAGTGACTTCTCTTTGGTGAGAAGGGAAGAATAGTCTTGGGAAGGTGAACTGCACAGCGAAGTGGAAACCATGGCTGGTGAGTCCAGCACTGCTGTTCCCCGACTTCCTTCCCCAGCCCTCTCCCTCTTCCCTGGTGGCACTGTTTGGGCAGAAGCAGCCTCTCCCGGCCAGCAGGAGGATACCTGTCCTTCCTGCTCTCCCAAGGTCTGTCTGGACACCTGCACTCACACAACTCCTCACCACACTCAACTAGGCTTGAGTCACATCCCCCAAAAGTTCATGTCCACTTGGAACCTCAAAATGTGGCTTTATTTAGAAATAGAGTCTTTGTGCAGATGTAATCGAGTTAAGATGAAGTCCCAGTAGACTAGGGTGGGCCCCAACTCAATGATGGGTCCAGGCAGACGTTGGAGTGATGCAGCCCAACACCATGGAATGTCAAGGCCTGTCAGGAGTCACCAGGAGCTATGAGAAAGCACCCAAGGATTCCTCCCTGGAACCTTCTGAGGAAGCATGGCCCTGGCCACACCTGGAGTTCAGACTTCCAGCCTTCTGAACCGTGAGAGAATACATTTCTGTTAGCAGCACATTATCATCATTCCAAGCCACCCAGTTTGTTTTAATTTGCTACAGCTGCCCTAGAAAATGAATACACTCACATATAAGCCTTTTCTTTTTTCTTCCCTCTTGGACTGCTAAGCATACCCAGAATACTTTGTCTTTGAGGGGGTTCCCAAGTATCAAGAGCACTCTTGAGAAGAAATGGGAAACTCGATATACAAAGCAAGTGGCAAAAAAAAGACAAGTGGCAAGTCTGCACTGATCTGAATAGAGTTTTTTTTTTTCAAGATTTGTTCATAGCAAATAGGTGAAGATCATGGGAATGGAGCTTTCAAACACTGCTGGTGGGAAGAGAAATGGGGACAGCCTTTCTGGAGATCAGATCCTCCCCAAATTTTAAATGACTCAGTAATTCCACTTCTAGGAATCTTTTACCAAGACTCACATGCAGGCACGAAGGTGTGTGCACACATGTGCTGTGGTGCTGGCTGCACTATCAATAAGCTGGAGACAACCTGTCCATCCACAGTCAATCAATTCTGATATCTGTACTCGACAGCACACCATGCCCCGTTAATAAGAGTAAGGCCATCAAGAGCTCTAAGATCTATTATAAAGAGGAACAAGCAAAATACACAGAATGAAGTCATATGGATTCAGAATCTATATTTACTCATTCCAGGCATATGAATACCAAACTGAGAATAGAGGTTAGTTCACGAGATTTTAAGAGGGATTGGGGTAAAGGGTAAAGCAACACTTACTTTTTACTATAAATGTTTTTGCTTTTGTTTAAATTTTTCAAAAAGCAAACCAACCAACCAACCATGTATTAGTGTATGTTTGGAAGTTGTGAAAACAAAATCTATCACCCAATCCACAACAATACTGGTGTCTTGGTTCTAAACCAAAAACCAGAAAACCATACCCACTGCCATTGAGTCAATTCCAAGTCATAGTGACCCTGAGTGGGTTTCTGAGGCAGTAAATCTTTATGGAAGTAGATTGCCCAGTCTTCCTTCTATGGAGTAACTGATGGATTTGGACCACCAACCTTCTGGTTAGCAGTTAGATGCCTTAGGCAACTGTGCTACCAGACCAGAGCCTCTCAAAACTCCTCCACACTGGAGAAAGCCTTTTCACTGCCATTTTCAATGGTTCCTACAGTGTTAGTGGGAGTCCTGGTGGTACAATGGTTAAGCACTGAGCTGCTAAATGAGAGGTTGGTGGTTCGAACCCACCCAGTGGCTCTGCAGGAGCAATGACCTGCCAATTTGCTCCCATAAAAAGTATAGCCCACTCTGTCTCAGGGGGTCGCGGTGTGTTGGAATCCATTCAAGGGCACCACATAACTCAATGGCATCCACGGCAACACGCATTAGTAACAAGGACAACTCTGAGGGAACAAGCCGCGTGATCGAGGCAGAAATGCACAGGGAAAGGGGAGATTTCACTCCTCGGTGACATCAGTCAGAAGTTTCCACCAGCTCCCTGCACCATCAGATTCCTCAGCTACCAGCTCTATTCTGTTAGTGAGAAAACAGCTTTGATCCTGCTAAAACAAACACTGCTAAAAGCCTCGAGATGCTGCCCACTTCCGAGTAAACCCTACTGTCCCTTGTTAGGAGGTGACAGCACCTAACAGGTAAGCGGGACCGGGGCCAACTAATGGGTGTGTGAGCACAGCGTACCTCGGAGAACCTCTGCACGTCCTGTGTCAGGGTGCCCACCCGCTTCCACTGGTAGTACTTCAGCAACTTGAGGATGGCCGGGTTCACCGCGTTATCTGATGGGACAGTCCGAAAGAAATAAGGGTATTTCTTCTTATCAGCCAGGACAGGCGTGGTCGCAGCGAAGGAAAGCTGGAAAACACACGAGAGACAATACCTTTACTGGAGGCCACCACAGCTATGAGCCCAGGAGCTTTCCAAAGGGAAGATACCTTAGTTCCGACATGGGACACAAACATTTGGGGCAAAGCAATGAGTATTGGGAGCTCTGGTCGTGTAGTACCTAAGGCATTTGACTGCTAACCAGAAGGCTGGAGGTTCAAACCCACCAGCTACTCTTCGGAAGGAAGATTGGACAATCTACTTCCATAGTGATACTGCCCTGGAAACCCAAGGAGGGTTGCTATGAGTTGGATCCAACTTCACGGCAGTGGGTTTGTTTTCTTTGGTTTTTGTATTGTGAAAGCAATGAATAATAATTGGAGAGAGGCCAACATTGCAATATATATATATATATATATATATATATATATAAGGCAGAAAAGTGGAAAGCCCACCAAACCCACTGCTGTTGAGTTGATTCCAACTCATAGCCACCCCATTAGGATTTCCAAGGCTTTGAAAATCTTTATGGAAGTAGATTGCCTCATCTTTCTCCTGTGGAGCAGCTGGCGGGTTTGAACCATTGACCTTCTGGTTAGCAGCCCACTGACTTACCCACTACACTACCAGAGCTCCTTAGAAAGGAGGGAAGCCACCTACAATCTATCCCTTCTCTATTTCTGTCCTCTATTTCTTTCCAAGGAGCTCTGGTAGTGTAGTGTCTAAGGCACTTGACTGCTAACCAGAAGGCTGGTAGTTCAAACTCACAAGTCACTCCTTGGAAGGAAGGCTGGGCAATCCATTTCCATAGTGATACCACCTCAGAAACCCAAGGAGGGTTGCTATCAGTCAGGTCCGACTCAACGGCACATAAGAACGAAAACACTTCCAGCCCTTTTTCTAGACAAGAGATTTTTTTTCAAGAGTCTTGAGATCATCAACACATCACTGGTCTGCTTTTACCGAGGTGCCTTCTCTTTCATTATTATCCTACAGGCATTTCATCACCCTGTTAAATATTCTTCGTGAACATTTGACTAGTTGCATAATATTCCACCACAATCTACCAAATCATTCCCAGTTTTGGGGCATTTGTCTCTAATTTGTCACTGTTGTTGTCACTGTTCCTTGCTGTCGAGCCAGTTCCCACTCACAGCGACCCCCTGTGTGCAGAGCAGAAACGCTCCACGGGTTTTCAAGGCTGGAAGCAGGTGACCAGGCCTGTCTTCTGAGGAGACTCTGGGTGGTTGGTGAACCACCAACCTTTCCATTAGTCCAGTACTGAAGCATTTGTGCCACCCAGGGGCTCAAGCTCATCGTTGTTGGCATATTATCCTACAAGCATCTTTGTGCGTGGCAGCACCCTGCCCTGTATTTCCAGCCATCTCTTTACAGCAGGGTCTGTGACATAAAATCGCCCAGGTAAATGGTTACAAGTTTTAAAGACTTAATGAAACAAAGAAAAGCCCCCAAACCAGTAGCTGTGGAGTCAGTTCTGACTCATGGCAACCCCACGGGTAGAGAGTAGAATGGAGCTCCTTTGGGTTTTGAAGATTGTGACCTTGCGGGACCAGACCACTAGGTCCTCCTTAGAAGGCACCTCTGCGTGAGTTCAAACCCTCAACCTTTCAGTTAGTCGTGGAGCACTTAACCATCTGCATCACCCAGAGACTCCGAAGATTTAATACTTATTCCCAAAAAGGCTTCTATCAATCTGTATACCCTCCAGCCAGGTATAAGACCAGGGGGCAAATTTGACCACATTCTTGTCAACAGAAGGCAATAAAAATTTGTCTAATTTACAATGAATCTAAAAAACTGAATCTTATTGCATTTATTGTTTATGCATAGGTTAAAAGGAGCTCTGGTGGCATAACAGTTAAAGCATCTGGCCCTTAACCAAAAGGTTAGTGGTTCAAACCCACTACTTCCTGAGAGAAAGATGAGGTAGTCTGCTTCCATAAAGATTATAACCTTGGAAACCCTAGGGGGCACATCTACTTCATCCTAGAGGGTTGCTATGAGTTGGAATCCTCTCAGTGGCAGTGGGTTTAGTGGTCTGGGTTTGCATACATTAAACATTTTCTCCATGTGGTCATTAATTAATAGAATGTTCGATTTTGGGAATTGCGTTTTCATGTTCTTTGTTTATTTTCTGAGTGGCATTCAAACGCTGTTCATATTGAGTCTACTGAGGACTTTCCACATGTATAGCATTCAAACTCAGACCATGAGAGTTGCTGCAAATATCCCAATTTGTTTGCCTTTAGATTTTGTGTGTGCATTTTAATTTACATTCAGAAGTCAACCCCTCCCATCTGTCCTTTGATGAATTCTCTTTTAGTACTCAGTTGTTAAACTGGATTGTAATGCTCTGTTGAGAAGGCCTGGCTTAAGTGTAACCTTCTTCATGGCATTCCTTCTGTCCCTGACCTCCTTTCCTGTCAGCCTCAAGCACAGAGATGCTTATCAAACTTTTCTGATCTTTGCAGGGTGGTGGTAGGAAAAAAAATGGTATCTTGTTCTAGTTATAACCAGAGCTTCAAACCAGTTCATTCTGGTTAGACCCCTTGCTGAGGATGCACATTTCCACCCCCATATACTCAGTCAGAATCTACATTTTAATGACCAAAACTGACCAGAATTACTGGTTGGATAGAAACTCGTAGAACCTCCACGACTATGGCCCTGGTTATCCTTCCTTCAGGCCTAGAAATGGACCCACTTCCGTGGACTAACTCTCAGCCCAACAGCAGAAAGACTTACATACAGAACACCTAACCCAGGGAGACGCACGCCTTAGATCAATCAGCCAGGAGACATCAGAGGGGCAGCATTGACGTAGAGGGAAAGCTGGACAGAGAGGAACGCAGAGATCAGAAGGGCAGAGGGAAGGGGTGGTCACAAGGAGGAGAGGGGAAGAGAGTTTTTTATGGTTGGAGATTGGAATCGGGCTGTGAAATCAAATGTGCATGAACTGCTGAATGTAAAAGAAACCTGCTTTGTAAATTTGCACCCAAAGCGCGCGCACACACACACACACACATACACACAGAAGCTATGCGCCAACAACACCCCCAGGTGATTCTTACACAGACATAAGAGAAACCCAGTCCTTAGCAGGGGTGGAGCCAGAGTGGCCCACGTCAAAGCTCCAACTGTAACTTGCACTGCTCCTACATGCGGGGCCTGCAGTATCTCCTGAGTCTTCTGCGGGCCCTTTCCGGAAACTGTTCACATCCCCCGCCCAGTTTCCATTTTGACTCTTAATCCTTTTCTTATCAGTCTGTAAAAGCCATTTTTTTTTTTTTTTTATATATTAAGGAACTTACTCTTTGTCATATAAATGGCTAATTCCCTCTTCCCCTTCCCTATTTTGTACTTTGTCTTCTGATGTTGTCAATGGTGGCTTTTGCCATGCAGAAGCAGCTCTGGTGGCATAGTGCCTAAGGCATTTGACTGCTAACCAGGAGCTTGACGGTTCAAACCCATAGCTCCCCTCGGAAGGAAGACTGGGCATGCAGAAGTTTTTATTTATATTTTAAAAGTGGTTGCAGTCCATCAATGCCTTTGGGTTTTGTGTCATATTCAGAAAGGCCTTGCCTCTCTGAGGTCATCAGACTTCTATGGCTGGATTAGTCTGTCCTTCCTCTCCTTCCCTCTCCCACGCTCCTCCTTCCTTCTCCTCCTCCCTCTTCCTTTTGCTCTTCTTGTGTTTTATTTAAACCTCTGATCTAGAGGTGGGAAGGCCGAAGCAAGCTCAGTCTTTACTGTCCCCAGCTTTCTCCCAAACCCTTGGTTGTCACAGCAATAGCTCTGGACCCGAAATACCCCACAGTTCAATCCCAGCATCTGGGGAAACAACATCCTGGCACTCTCAGGGCCAGCTAAGATGCCTTGCAGTCTCTCCTGTCACTCGAGGAAGCATTCCTTTTCTCCCAAGGCTTTACAAAGGTGGGACAATCGAGATTCTGTCCCTCAGCCCGGTCTGGCTCAGAAGGTGGATGTCACTGCCTAGGACCCAGGATCCTCTGTGGTCATTCAGCAGCCTCACCACATCCTACCTGTTGGAGCTGACCATGAAACAGCTGTTACCCGGGGCTACAAGCACTTGGAAGAATCAATTTCTAAGATGTCCACAGAGACAGGATACCCCAAGTCGGATAAGGGTCAAGGGCAGAATTACTGTGCAAAGGGTTCTGGGAAGACTAATGGCTAATGGAATGAATCCAGAGAGAGGCAAATTTCAGCTGGACACTTTAGGGAACACTCCCCCTCAGAGCTGTTCAGCACTGGAAGGTCTGGCATTGGCAGTAGTGAGAGCCCCGTCTCTGGGGGCATGTAAGCTGAGGCTGAGCACAACCTACTGAGAACCTAGAAGGGCTTAGCCTGACTCCACGGACTCTTCAGAGGGGCCTCAAAGGGCCTGTGAACCTTCTGAAAATGATATGAAAGTTTGTTCAGATGTGTAGTCTACACAGATTACGTAGGTTTTTTTGAACAGAGTAGCCATGGCTTTCATCCAATTCACAAGGAGGATCGTACCGTGCAAACAAGAGCAGCGCCCCTGCCTGACGTGCCATTTAGGTTGCACAGTGACTGTGAGAAACAGAAGCTCCCTTATCCCTGTGGAGTCCCTGGGTGGCACAAACAATCCTGCATGTGGTGGGTGGCTCAAGTCCACCCCAAGGCACCTCGGAAGAAGGGCCTGCCGATCTACTTCTGAAAAGATCAGCCACTGAAAACCCGAAGCAGCCCAGTTCTGCTGTGTCATGCACGGGGCCACCATGAGTTGGATTCAACTCGACAGCAACTGGTGGTGGTAGGGACCATCCCCTCAAACCGAGAACTCATGATCATATCTGCTCTCACGATTAAAACAACACTGCCGTCCTCTGCTTCCCAGTGTAAGAAGGGGCTCTGACCAAAACCAGAGAGGAACTGTTTCAGGACCAGGGATATGTGCCATCCC